GCATTGTGCTGCCTGGGTCCAAAGATGGAATGCTGCCTTCCCCCTCACCAAAAAAAAACCACGCTCTCCAAAACACACTTAAATCCATTAATTTATGCAGTGTGTAATGAATGCAGTGTCTGATCTTGTGTATTGTATAGAGAGTGTGTAATGAATGCAGTGTTTGTGTAGTGGATGCAGTGTCTGTGCTTGTGTACTGGATGCAGTGTGCGTAGTGCTAGCAGTGTCTGTGTTTGTGTAGTGGATGCAGAGTTTGTTTGTGTAGTGGACGCAGTGTATGTCTGTGTTGTGGATGCAGTGTATGTCTGCGTAGTGGATGCAGTGTGTGTGTGCGTATGTGTAGTAGATGCAGTGTGTGTAGTGGATGATGTGTTTGTGTAGTGGATGCAGTGTGCATAGTGAAAGCAGTGTGTGTGTATGTACTGGATGCTGTGTGTGCGTGTGTAGTGGACACAGTGTGTGTGTGTCTATGTAGTGGATGCAGTGTCTGTGTTTGTGCAGTGGATTCGATATGTGTGTCTATGTAGTGGATGCAGTGTGTGTATTTGTGGAGTGGATGCAGTGTGTGTCTGTGTAGTGGATGCAGTGGATGTATTTGTGTTGTAGATGCAGTGTGTGTATTTGTGTAGTGGAAGCAGTGTGCATATTTGTGTAGTGGATGCAGTGTGTGTGTTGTGAATGAAGTGTGTGTGTGTGTGTGTGTGTGTTTTGGATGCAGTGTGTGTTTGTGTAGTGGATGTAGTGTGTGTATTTGTGTTGTGGATACAGTGTGTGTATTTGTGTAGTGGTGTGTACTGGATGTAGTGTATGTGTGTTTATCGTGTTGTCTACTGGATGTAGTGTATGTGTGTTTATAGTGGTGTGTACTGGATGTACTGTATGTGTGTTTGTGGGCTGTGGGGAGGGATGCAGTGTTTTAAATGTATAATAAAATGTATTCCCCTCTCCCTGCCTCTAACCTGTGGTCAGGAAGGGGGGACACGAGATTCCCTGGTGGTCCAGTGGCACAGGAAGGTGTCTTGTGAAGAGGAGGTCAGATGTCTAATTCTCCATCTTCACCATCAGGTCCTTTCCTCACGCGAGCCGCGAGAGCTTTGCTACGAGTTGCCATGGCAACGCTTCAGCATGCATGGTGTGCAACACAGAACATTGCCATAGCAACCTGCGGCAACGCTTTCACGGCTCGGCAGAGGAAAGGACTGAATTCTGTAGGACATGGAGAATCAGATCTCTGGGCCCCCTCTTCATAGGATAAAGCAGCAGAGGCCCAGAGATCCATATATATATATATATATATATATATATATATATATAGCGTTACTTGCTATATATATGCAAATGGAAGGAACAGCACATTTCTTAAAGGCTCAGGGACGGCATAATGCTGCCCCTATCAAAGAGCTGACTGGAGCCATAGTCCCACTGGGACCAATGGTCGGGCCGTCCCTGTCAGGAGGGCATTTAGGAGATATGCGTTAGGTGGTGGCATGGTGTGTTTTAAAACCTCCCTTATAGTATTGACCAACATAGGCCTTTTTATTTATTTAGTTTACATTTTATTATGTGGTGGCTGGCTACCACAGCTCTGGCCTGTCGCAACATAATTAACACTTGCATAGCAGAAGTTTTTAACAATTTAACAATTTTTAAATGCTAGTTTTCACATCCAGCAGGCAAATAGTACTTCAAGTGATCAATTTACATGCAAAAAAGCAAGTGAAAAACCGTTTGCGAATGTGCATGCTGCCAGATGCATGTGTTTTTTTAATATCATGCTGCATGTATATTTTGAATCCTATACTTCTTATAGCGCTCGGATTGAAAAGCACTGATTTTAATCTCTGACACCTTAGCGATTGCTGCAGATTCACTTGGTCGTTTTCACTGGATATTTCCCATCCTGACAAAATGTAGTGCTTAGTAAATAGCCCTGCTGGGACTTTAAGAATGTTGTATGATTTAAAAAAAAAAAAAAAACTTATATTTTTTTTGCCTGACACACATTATTGATTTTGTGTAAGCAGGTTAAATAAGAGATCTGCAAAATATTGAAATGTTTTATAATAATGTTAAATTAATCTTGCATAATTCTTTGCCAATATGATTTTGTCTTTTAATAGCATGTAATTGCCACTGGAAGGCTGAGGAATGCTATTATGATCAAGAAATTGCAGACAAGCGTCTAAGTTTGAATATTCATGGAAAATACATTGGAGGAGGTGTTTGCATTAACTGCACAAGGAACACTGCTGGAATCAACTGTGAAACGTGTGCTGATGGATTTTATCGACCAAAAGGGGTACTGTCTCGTTTTCTCATTTTTATTTTTTCATTAAAAGAGTTGATATTTTTATGGTATTTTACTAATCCTAATTATATGTTTTACACTGATTAATTTTAACATATGTTCCTGCATCAACACAGTAACAAAATAAACTTGTCTGATAAAATTAATAAATCGATCAAATCCAAAGGTACCAGATTTGAATGGATATACTGAAAATAAAATGCTTTAAGTTTGCACTTATGTACGTAACATCTCAGTTTTATAACTTTGCAGAACTTCATGTTGTTGAAATGACATGTTTCATTGGGTTGTAGAATAAATCTTTATTTTGCACTCTTTTTACCTTTTGGGATGTGTGTCTGCAACTGCCAGATGTTACTAGACCACAACTCCCATTACATGTTTCCAATATTGTCCATGGCATTGCAGTCCATTAACATTTTGCCCAAAGAAAATCACAACTTGAAAGTTTATTATAGTTTTCATTAAGTACAATCAATTCACTGAATAATAAAGTGAGCATACAAAACCTATGTATTGTATGTCAGACAGTAGCACAGTAGCATCAGGAAAATCTACAAATTGTAAGTTCTTTCACAACTTACAATTTTGCTGTGCTTGCATGTACCGTGGAAAGATAATGTATAAATGTGAAAGAGGAAATTCTAGAAGAGAAAAAAGTGAACAGGAAGAGTAAAAAAGTAAATAAAAATCATAGTTTAGAAGGGATCTGGGTGAGATATAACTATCTGAATTAGTATTTGTCCACAGTATATAACATCACTAATTATAGCTAACGTTACCCTATTTAGGTTACATGTTGTTGGGACCAGTGTAACCTCTGAAGGTCTTTAAAAGTCCCTATGATAATTCATAGAATGTGACGGCAGATAAGAACCATTTGGCCCATCTAGTCTGCCCAATTTTCTAAATGCTTTCATTAGTCCCTGGCCTTATCTTATAGCTAGGGTAGCCTTATGCCTATCCCACACATGCTTAAACTCCTTCACTGTGTTAACCTCTACCACTTCAGCTGGAAAGCTATTCCATGCATCCACTACCCTCTCAATAAAGTAATACTTCCTAAAATTATTTTTAAACCTTTGCCCCTCTAATTAAGACTATGTCCTCTTGTTGTGGTAGTTCTCCTTCTTTTAAAAATAGTCTCCTCCTTTACTGTGTTGATTCCCTTTATGTATCTAAATGTTTCTATCATATTCCTCCCTGTCTCGTCTTTCCTCCAAGCTATACATGTTAAGTTCCTTTAACCTTTCCTGGTAAGTTTTATCCTGCAATCCATGAACCAGTTTAGTAGCCCTTCTCTGAACACTCTCAAAAGTATTAATATCCTTCTGGAGATACAGTCCTCTGCATTATAGGCCACACAAATCTCCATAAAATATTAGTGGATGGAAAAACTTACTCCTCAAATGCTGATAATCCACACTTTATTTATTTTACAATATTCTACCTGATATATATCAAAAATAGTCATTTTCATCCCGCTAAAGATGCACAATGCTAAATACACTTTTGTAATATACGCTTCACCGAAGCTCTGCCATTTTGGTTTCAAGGTGATAGACAATTTTCTAAGTAGCCAGAATCTCCATTCTTATTCACAACATGGAAATGGCAGACGGTTCAACAATCTATAAGCAGGGGCGGACTGAGAGCCTTTGGGGCCCCCGGACAAAATAAGATCCCAGGCCCTTTGAAGGCCAAATATATGTGCATTAAATAAATGTTAAATATAACTCATAATACGGCATTCCTTTGGATGTGTATATTGTGAAGACCTGTGTATCAATGCATGTTTGTATTTGAGTCTGTGTGAATGCACTTGTGCATGTCTGGATGACTACATGTGCTTTTTTGTATATAGTGTCTGTGTGAATGCATATGTGACAGGTGACAGAGTGTGTGAGGGAGAAGGTGACAGGTGGAAGAGTGTGGGAGGTTGTGACAGGTGGCAGAGTGAGGGGGTACCTGGTGGCAGAGTGAGGAAGGGAGGGGTTGAGTGGTGGCAGAGTGAGGGGGAGACACAGTGAGTGGGGATGACTGGTGACAGAGTAAGGGAGTTTGTGACTAGTGACAGAGGGAGGGAGAGGGGGTGACCAGTGACAGAGTTAGGGAATGGGTGACTAGTGGCAGAGTGAGGGAGGGAGGGAAGAGATGACTAGTGGCAAAGTGAGGGAGGGAAGAGGTGACTAGTGACAGAGTGAGGGGATGACTGGTGACAGAGTGAGGGAGTGACTAGTAACAGAGGGAGGGAGTGACTAGTGACAGAGGGAGGTAGTGACTAGTGACAGAGTGAGGGAGGGGGTGACTGTCACTAGTCACCCCATCCCTCTCTCTGTCACTACTCACTCCCTCCCTAACTCTGTCACTGTGTCACCCGCTCCCTCACTCTGTCACTAGTCACCCCCTCACTCACTCTGTCACTAATCACCCCCTTCCTCACTCTGTCACTAGTCACCCCATCCCTCTCTCTGTCACTAGTCACTCCCTCCCTAACTCTGTCACTGTGAAGGAAGGTGACAGAGTGAGGGGATGACTGGTGACAGAGTGAGGGAAGGGATGACTAGTGGCAGAGTGAGGGAAGGAAGGGATGACTGGTGACAGAGTGAGGGAATGACTGGTGACAGAGTGAGAGAGGGGGTGACTAGTGACAGAGTGAGGAAGGGGGTGACACAGTGAAAGAGTGAGGAAGGGAGTGACACAGTGACAGAGTGAGGAAGGGGGTGACACAGTGACAGAGTGAGGGAGGGGTTGACTAGTGACAGAGTGAAGGAGGTGGTGACTGTCACTAGTCACCCCATCCCTCCCTTTGTCACTAATCACCATCTCCCTCACTCTGTCACTAGTCACCCCTTCCCTCCCTCACTCTGTCACTAGTCACCCCCTCCCTCTCTCTGTCACTAGTCACACCCTCCCTCACTCTGTCACTAATCACACCCTCCCTCACTCGGTCACTAGTCACACCCTTCCTCACTGTCACTAGTCACACCCTCCCTCTCTCTGTCACTAGTCACACCTTCCCTCACTCTGTCACTAGAGTGAGGGGGTGACTAGTGACAGAGTGAGGGGGTGACAGGTGACAGAGTGAGGGAAGGGGTGACTAGTGGCAGAGTGAGGGAAGGAAGGGATTACTAGTGACAGAGTGAGGGGATGACTGGTGACAGAGTGAGGGAGGGAGTGGGTGACCAGTGACAGAGGGAGGGGGGGAGTGGGTGACACAGTGACAGAGTGAGGAAGGTGATGACTACTGACAGAGTGAGGGGGGTGGTGACTGTCACTAGTCACTAGTCACCACCTCCCTCACTCTGTCCCTAGTCACCCCTCCCTCTGTCACTAGACACCCCCTTCCTCACTCTGTCACTAGTCACCCCTTCCCTCCCTAACTCTGTCACTAGTCACCACTTCCCTCCCTCACTTGGTCACTAGTCACCCCCTCCCTCACTCTGTCACTAGAGACAGTGACTAGTGACAATGAGGGGGGTGAATAGTGACAGTGAGAGGGGTGACTAGTGACAGTGAGGGTGGGTGACTACTGACAGGGGGGATGACTAGTGACAGTGAGGGGGGTGACTAGTGACAGTGAGGGGGGGTGACTAGTGACAGTGGGGGGGTGACTAGTGACACAGTGAGGAGGGTGACTAGTGACACAGTGAGGAGGGGTGACTAGTGAAACAGTGGGGGGGTGACTATTGACAGTGAGGGGGGGTGACTAGTGACAGTGAGGGGGGGTGATCTAGTGACAGTGGAGGGGGGTGACTAATGACAGTGAGGGGGGGGTGGACTAGTGACAGTGAGGGGGACTAGTGACAGTGAGGGGGGGGTGACTAGTGGACAGTGAGGGGTGACTAGTGACAGTGAGGGGGGATGACTAGTGACAGGGGAGGACTAGTGACATGAGGGGGGTGGACTAGTGACAGTGAGGGGGTGTGGACTATGACAGTGGGGGGTGAATAGTGACAGTGAGCTGGGTGACTAGTGACAGGAGCGGGTGGACTAGTGACAGGAGGGGGGGGTGACTCATGACAGTGAGGGGGTGACTAGTGACAGTGAGGGGGGTGACTAGTGACAGTGAGGGAGGCGGACTAGCATGCGAGGGTGGGCGACCAAAGTATCGCGAGGCGGACCAGGACAGGGGGGGGGGGGCGGGATTAGTGACAGGGGGGTGACTAGTGACAGGAGGGGGGTGGCTAGTGACGGGGTGACTAGTGACAGTGGGGGGGTGACTAGTGACAGTGGGGGGTGGCTAGTGACAGTGAGGGGGGGTGACTAGTGATGGGGGGGACTAGTGACAGTGAGGGGGTGACTAGTGACAGTGAGGGGATGACTAGTGACAGTGAGGGGGGGTGACTAGGGACAGTGAGGGGGGGGGTGACTATATCCTACCTCTCTCTCTCTGCTTCCTCTTCTGTCCCTGGCTGCTGCTCCTTCCCCTGCTGGCTGATCGGCTCTGGGTGAGAGAGGAGTAAACAGGAAGTGATGTCACTTCCTAGCCCCTCCTCTCCCCATCACACAGAGCACCGCGGGACAGGGAGAAGGAGACCTGGCAGAGAGAGGCGGTAAAGCTGCCAGGTCTCATATGAGGGTGGGGGGTGACTTGCAGAGCAGTAGGTTGTGGGGCCCTGCGCTCCATCAGGGGCCCCACAACCTATCAATTAAATAATTTTATTATTTTTTGCCGTTCCAGTTGGAGAGATCTCTGATCTCTCCAGCTGGAGCATGGCTGTGCTGTCCATGACCGAGTGGTCAGTCCGCCCCTGTCTATAAGCTTGATGTACAAGAGCCTGATGTTTTTTCTTTGTTTCTTTTTTTGTGTGTTTGTTTACACCAAATTGTTATTTACTATTTTTAACAGTAAGTACTAAAGAGTCCTGTCTGGTACAACTGAGTGATTAGTAGCAAACTGCAATGTTGTTTGCTATTCAGTAAGTGGAGGTTGGCTCAAAAAAGCTCAGGTAGGGTAAGGTTTCAGTAGGTAAGGTACATATCCCTTGGTCATCTGTCTTGCATCCCCATATTCCCAGAACAAACCCTGTAGAAACAAAGGAACTAGAGAAAGTACAATCTGTCTGCATGTTTCTTTAGTCACAGTATGAGCTGAGCTAATGGATGTGAATTTAGTGGATTATTATTGTATTAATTAATGTATTATTATTTCCTGATGTTTTATTAGGTGGCACCAACTCACCCAAATCCATGCCGACCTTGTAGTTGTGATCCCATAGGGTCATTTCACGATATTTGTGTCAAGGATGAAAAGCAAGCTGCAAAAGGTAGGTATATAATATGTATTTTATTTTCTTAGAATCATAATTTTAACAGTAACAAACATCAATAATATAAAATATGAACTATTCTATGTCCCGTAGAGCCAGTAAAATATATCCATGTGTTTAAAACATTGAAGGTTTTTCTTGGCCTGTTACATTACTGTTTGTCAATTTAAATTTGGGAATCCAGGAGATACTGATAAACGGGACTTATTTAATAATAAGTGAAAAACTAAATGGAAAAATGTAAGCCAAAATATCTGGGATAGGAAAAATCTTTTATTACTCACCCTAAATTTTTATTATGGTTATTAAGTATTTTAAAAAGTAGATTGTGGGTTAATGGAAAACTAAACTATCCAATTCGGTAATTCAATATACATTTTAATTACAAGATTTTGCTATTACATGACGAAAGTCATGATTTAATTAAAGACACAGGCAAGTATTGCATATCCCTTTCTTTACTGTCCACCAATAGCAGCAAAGAATACAAACAGTAAAGAAAAAAAATGGTACACATAGTGATAAGCCACTGCCATACCAAGTCCCATTATAATAGCCAGCACCTCCCATCATAATCCTCTTTCTTTGGAGATGCAACACACTAACAAAACATTAAACCGGAACTGAAGAATCAGTCCAACCACATAAGAACAACTGTCTTGACATCCAGTCGAACACCAACCAGGAACACATCAACGAAATGGGGCCAATCCATCACCGAACCAGCAAACGCCAAACGTAGAGGATCCCATTATACAACAATCAGTTGGCATCCAGTTAACAAGATGCATTTGGGCTATGAAAACATAAATAAACAGGAGTCACATGGTTATTTCAGTCTTCACAACTTAGTGCTCATGTAAGGTAGAGACAGACCCCTCTTAACAGACCTACATGAACCCAGGAACAGATCCTACATTCCAAATGTATAAGCCAGAAACCAAATGCAATAATATCCCTACTTACCGTAATACCATTCTTAGAAACATAGAAACATAGAATGTGATGGATTTAAAGTCACTACAATTCAGGGATTCTAGAATAAACCTGATAATGCATAATTCTATATTCAGTTCATCACAATTCAGTGTTTAGTGATGATTAAACCAGAATGACACATTTTAAACAAATGAATAAGGAATGAAACAAAATAGCATATACACTAAGTCAAAATGCAATCATTGTTCAGTTGATCACAGTTCAGTGTTTAGTGGTGATTAAACCAGTGAGGCTAATTTTGAACCAAATGGTAAAAAGCTAAATAAAAGAATATACTTCTTAAATCAACATGCAATCAGAGTTTTTCTTAGATTATTTATTTTTTGTAACCAATTCAGAGTTTATTTGCTGCAAAATTCTGAATATTTATCAGCACAGAAATAGTTTTAAAGTAGAGAAGAATAAAATATTAGTCTAAAAGTCAAATCTTCATGGACATTTTTGCTAGGATCATCAACAGTTAAAAAAGAAGCGCATGCAGTTTATTTATTCCAACTGTTGTCTACACATTCATTTTCTAAACACGTTTTATTTTAACGAGAATGGCATAGAACAAGTATTAACAGTTCCTTTGCTCAGCAGAAATGATTTTCCATATCTGCGCTTACTCTAATGTCATTCATAACTTTGGATATGTGTTAGCTACACCAAGTGGCTCAGTTTATTAGACCCCCAGGCTTTTTTGTCAATGCTGCTATTTAATAGTAGTGATGTACTGAACGGTTCGCCGGCGAACGGTTCCTGGCGAACATAGCATGTTCGCGTTCGCCACGGCGTGCGAACATATGCGCGGTTCGACCCGCCCCCTATTCGTCATCATTGTGTAAACTTTGACCCTGTACCTCACAGTCAGCAGACACATTCCAGCCAATTAGCAGCACAGCCTCCCTAGCAGACCCTCCCACCTACTGCACAGCATCCATTTTAGATTCATTCTCAAGCTGCATGCTTAGTAAGAGGAGGGAAAGTGTAGTTGCTGTTCATAAGATAGGGAAAAGCATAGCTAGGTTAGGGATAAGGGTATGCTTTTTTTGGATTTTTTTTTTCTATCTAATGTAAATGCACTTAGTTGCTCCTCTGCCACTGCTGCCAGCTTCTGTGTCAGGCTCACAGTGCCCATTTCAGCCGCGCCGCCACCCAAATTAAGCATCTGCGTCAGCCAATAGCTGGATTTAAAAAACAAAAAAAAACTTTTCACTGCAGGACGCGAATAGCAGTCAGTTGTCTGCCACTGCTGCCAGCTTCTGTGTCAGCTGCCCACAGTGCATACTGTGCCCATTTCCCAGTCAGTGCCACTAATTAGATCTGGTGTCAATAGTTCCGGATTTAAAAAAATAATCTTTTCACCGTTAAGTAGATTGAATAGCAGCCAAAGTGTCCTTAAAGCTGGTGTGTTACGCTTGGCACAGTGGATACGCTTCGACAAGTGCTGCCACCTTTACCAGATCTGGTGTCACAATAGTTTGGATTTAAAAAAATAATCTTTTTTCACTGTTATAGATTGAATAGCAGTCAGTGTCCTTAAAGCGGGTGTGTTACGCTAACAGTGGATACGCTGACAAGTGCCACTAATTAGATCTGGTGTCACAATAGTTTGGATTTAAAAACAAAATACTTTTTTTACTGTTATATAGATAATA